CTCCAATCACATTTTATAGAATGGGGAAGCTTACCTCTCGTAATCCTAGAATTGTTAAAGTTGTATTACCTAGTTCTCTAGGCGTCTCATTTGCGTAACTTTCGTGTTAGGGAGATTTACATTAGACCATCCCTCCCTTTGGCAGAGAGAATTCGCCTCAGTGAACTGAGAAAGCTCAGGACGGCACTTCATGGTGTCGCGCGTGAGCGCAAGCATGATGTCCAACCCACTTTTGTTCCTAATTCCAATATTCACGTTACGGACGCTGTACTTAATGTTACTGACTCTTCGAAAAATAGTGCCATGATTCGTTCCTCTATGAACTCTTCTGATGTAGCTATTCGTTCTATGTCTAGCATTAGTCCATCTACCAGTGTGCAACCACTGGGAAACGTATAAGCGCTCCTCGGCCTGCGGGTAGCAAGATAAATTTTTTCCTGAGTAATGTCCGATCTTTAAATCGTAATGCATCTTCTCTTGCATACACACTCTCTGCACACAACTCGGATGTTGTCGCCCTGACTGAAACGTGGTTAAAACCGAATAGGAAACTTGAACCGTTATTAGGGGAAGTTTGTGCAACATATGAGATTTTAGGTGTGACAGAGTCAGATTTAAGGGGGAGGAGTCGCTTTCTTGATCAGGAAGGTCTTACTCCCAGTCCTTGTTTTTCCAGGAAAGCGTGCCTAAGGCCTATGAGATCCTCGCCTGTGATCTTAATTCGAAGATACGATTCTTCGAGTGATGAATCTATCAGGCTTATTCTTGTGTACAAAACGCCGAGCTGCAAATCGGGGCATAGTGGTCAGTTGAGCAGGTGTATAAGCGATCTCGCTTCTAGCGACTGCATTTGTCTACTAATGGGTGACTTTAATTACCCAGACATTGACTGGAGCGGCAACTGTTCTAAGGCGGCGTCTTGTTCTAACTCTTTTGTGGATCTGAACTGAATTTTGAGGAGCACTTGAAGAATCCTTCTATTCTATAAACATTAAGTATTGCTGTGTCGTTTGCTAGTTTGTAAAATGGTAATGTATGTATTGTATGTATGTATGTTGTAGGTATGTATGTATGTATGGTATTGTCCGTCCTCGAAATGCCTTCACGGTTCAAGTTCGCTTGCGGGAGGAGAGAACAACAACTGCAGGCAAACCGCGCAACGCCGTCGCGTGACAGGCAGTATCAATCCAATGTTTTGATCGTGATGTGATGTTTTGATTGTTTTTGGCAGCATATATAAGACAACCATTCGGTACACTCCGAGCCATTGCACGAGCTGCTCGGGTGGCAGCCGGACGTGTGACTTGCGTGTGCGCGAGCTTCCCTCCTCTGCTTACTACCCGGGCGTACTCAGCGCGGATCTGAGGCACGGGTAAGGGAAGGATGGCCCGGGCTGGCAGGTCGCGACTGGAACAGCTGTTTGTTCCAAGGCTGATGTGTATGTTATGGAGAGGGAATACAGTGGGTGCCAGGAGCTGCTAGCTGCTGGATAAGATTGACAGGGAGTTGGATTGGAATGGTCAACATACTCATAATGCGCGGAGACACAGCATCAGTTATGCGTTGATTTCAGCAAATGATATAAAGGGGAAGGCGGGTGACAGGAAGTGATAACAGCGGATAGGGTCTGATAGGGGAGAGCAATCGAATTGCTCAATTGTGGTTCAATCAAATGCTGGAGCCTCTACACCACGAAATTATGGAGTTTAGTGATAGCGACATTGATGACGGGTGACAAGCAATTTTATCAATTGATAAGCAAAAGATAAGGGGACATTCTCACGACATCTGTGACCACTAGACTGCCAAGTAATGAAGTCTCAGTAAGCGAACTTTTCCTTCAGCCATCCTTTCTCTGATAGAACCAGAAATGAACTGATCCCATCGCACTATCCTACTATGTATAATGTTGAAGCCGAGGAGCGCGGGGGGGGGGATGATACTTCACTTGAAACAGGAAGTTTGGAAAAAATCAAAAACCTGAATATTGGAACACACTTTATGCGTTCAGTGACTATTTGACTATTTTTTTGCTTTTCAACTTTTAATCACTGATGAGAACGAATAACGAAGTAGTTTGTAAGATATTCAACGAACGCAGCCCAAATATTGGCATCTGCAGCCATTCATGCAACCTTAGCAGGTGGATTGCATGTTAATGGCAAGTTAATCGCTCATCGTTGGCGTTGTGATGCAGGTAATAAAAACGGAATTTGTTCATCTACTGTGCAACTCATATTGATATTGCGCTCATGGCCGACTGTACTTCCTATATATTTCTACGATCTACGTATAGAATGGGCGTTATGGCCGAAACCAGCACGCCTTCCGCAAATATCAGGGTGGACTGAGGAGTGCAGAATCCGCTAGGTTGCTCTGTCTATTATGATTCGACCACTACGCGCAATATGAGCAGCTCAGGCAATTAACAAATTCCATTCCCGTTATGATGTGCGCCTGGCGAAGCCGGGCTTGAGTTAAGGAGGAGAGCTCGGCGTCAGCCGGGCGCTCCGACTGGTGTAATTTAAGGCGGAAGAGAGAGTGTTTTTGCTATTCAGATCTTTCAAGTCTAAGGATCCCGCGTTGCTCATGAAAGCCTATAAAATTTATGTGCGTTCAATTCTCGAGTACGGCACAAACATTTACTTTCCGCGTAAAAAGGTAATTCATTGACAAATTGGAGAGGATACAGAATGGCTTCACTAGGAAACTATTCATCAGGGTCTTGGGATTCACTTATGCGAGCATTCCCCGCGGTTTAATTAGAAACAAAATCCTTAATCTAGATCCTCTTACACTTAAGAATGAGAAGAAACGACATCCTCATGGTTTATAATATTCTAAATAAGCGAGTTGAGTTGAACTCCAACTCCTTCTTTGAAGTTGGTCCCGTCCAGAACTAGAGGAGAACGTTTTAAACTTTCATTTCGGCAACCTCGGTCTCTGTTGGGGCGAAAATTCTTTACGTTTCGTGCAGGAACGGAGTATGTAAGGATGAGCAAGAGTATTACAATACCTGGCACTTTCAACGGATTCAAAAAATCGTTGTTTCGTTACCTGCACAGGGGTTGATCGCGTTTTCTAGTGGTACTAGGTTTTTATTTTTTTTTATTATTGTTTTCTTTTTTTTTCCTCTCTTATCATTTGTTTGCTTGTGGTTCGTTTCACCATTTGTTGTTGATTGTTTACATGTTGCAAGACAGGTAATAAAGTTGAAAGTTGAAAAGCCGTTCCTTGTGTCATGAGAAACCTCGTTCCTAGAATTCTTTCTTGAATCATCTAATTTCTTGTTCAGTTTCTGATTCGTTCCAGCAAATTTTCTTCTGCACAGATGTTCAGGTCCGCATCTTGAGCTTGTCCAACTTTTCAGAGGGTCTCTGGGAGTTTTGCCGTCTTTTTTCTCCGCATCTATGTGCTTGTATCTGAACTCCCAAAGCCAGATTGTAGCCAGGGCAGCAGCATTAGTGTTGGGGATTTGGTCGAGCCCGTACGACACCCCCCCCCGCTTATTGGAGTTCGGTACAAACCCGTACGCTCCCCCCCTTATACATAAACTTATGAAGTTTCTTCCCCCCCCCCGAGGAGGAAGAAACTTCATAAGTTCATGTATAAGTAAGCGCGAAAAATAGAAAAAGTAACAATCCTGAACAAGGCCCCCCTCGCTTTTTGCTCATTTCTATCCTGATTCAGAAAAGAGAATAGAAAAGAAAGGCCATTAGGTTTCACCCACCTTTCCTCGAGTCAAAACAAACTCTGGTACCTGAATCAATTGCAATTAAAAGAAAAAAACAGGAAATTAAGCCAACTTCTCCTAAAAGCACTCTGAGCGGTCCAAGCAAAATTGCTGGGGCGCGCTCTGACGCGTATTCGAGTAAACTGAGAAGAAGATAAATATTCGATATTCGAATAAACCGAGAAGAAGATAAACACGAAAGAGTAAATACGAACGAGAGCAAACGAGGATGCTGTCTAAACGAAGCCGAGGTAACCTCTTTGAATAACTTTCCCGCGCGCACCCGTTTGAATCGGCGCCGAGGTACCGGGGAAGGGAATTCTGGGCAGGACCAGCCGTGGGAAACAAATTTTCAGCAAGTAGGGTGTCTTTGAAGGACCATAACTTCCTCAAAAGCGGACCTATGGGGAAGAGGAAAGCGTATTCGTGTAGAGGAAGGTTTGATCTTCCTAAAAGTACTAAAATGTTCATGAAGGTCGCAAAAATCACAGAGAAATTGCCTTGGGGATTCGATGGGATTTTTTTCAGGAACAGGTTTGAATCAATATATTTTTTTGTAACTCAACATTTCACAAATCTGAGAACGGATTCGAGTGTATGAAGACTTGCTCTTTCTAAAAACCTATTGAACTGTTTCTGAAGTCTCGGGATTCATGAGATCTGGCGATGGGGATTTCTTGCGCAGTACTCCGAGCTGCGCGAAAAACCCGTTTCCTGTGTACCGTTTCAAGTGAGCGTGTTCGAATAACCAGGAACGCATGAAAAACGTATCCTGTGGTGGAGCAGGAGCAGAATATGGTTCGTTTAGCGCCGATCACGCTGACTTTGGATGCGCCGCGCACTGAGGTCCGCGCAGAAGTGATGGGATGGTGCAACTTGTGCGTAATGTCTGTCCACGCGAGCAAATGTGTCTATAGGATTCAGGGAGGTCCATGGCGAACCTGTGCACTTGTTTACAGTGTTTTCCGTTGCGTATGATGGAGCGTGTCCCTGTCGACGCCGCCAGATTCGTGCTCCGCCAATTGCTGATTCCGATGAAGGAGACCAACTGCTGGAAAACGTCTGATACGAACGATATGGTAGTCGTTGTCGAAAAAAACAGGTTGGCTCAGCGCCAAGCGCGATCGCGGACACGCCCCATCATCCGCAGCGAACCAGAGTATGAGTTGTAGTGTTTAGTCACTTACGAGATGATGTCGACTTTTTATTTCCAGTTATTTCAGATTAGTTTGATGAATGAAAGTTTTGTACTATTTTTTTACATATCCGAGTTCTCTACAAAGCAAGCTTCGCTGTACAGGACTCAGCACACTGACAATTTGCGCTGCTCGTTACTGGCTACCGCACTCATT